CTGAAGGGTGAATCGGCGGCGGTGCCTGTGCAAAGAAGAGCCCACCCGGCTCGCTGGAAGTCGCTCCCTGCGGAACAAAGGAACCTGACGGAGTATGCCCGGGGCCATCCGAGTAGGGTGTGCCAATAGGTGTAGCATAAAGTGAGGGTGACTGTGGGGCAGGGGCATATAGCGAGGGTCGAGGAGGGCCGTATAGGGAGGGCAATTGAGACTGGGGAAGGGGTGTCTGCTGAGGGTGGGTATACGGGTCCGCAAAAGGGCCGTCGTATTCGCGTTCCTGCATGGTGGGTGCTGAGAAGGAGCGCTGTTATGCGTGCGGCTTGTCGTCGCCGCCAGCAGGCAGCCTCCACTCCACGTGATCCACCCCCGCGGATCAAATGCCGTATTTTGTCGGCAACGTTTGGGAACGTTTCTCAACGTTTTTCTTTCAAAATAGCTACCCTAGAACTTGGGGCACCGCCCCAAAGAACCATGATGATTCTTCCTTGGACCCTGTCCCACTGTTTGATACGACACCCTACCTCCCTTCGCCTGCCATTATGGCCACCCCTGATCTCCTCTCTTTAAACGTTTTTTTTCCAGTGGTATGGGCTCCTACTCAGCGTCTGCTGTGCCGTCGACCCTGACGTCGGCTTCACCCGGGCTGGTCAGGTATTTAGTCATTCAGTTCGGTCTCATGACCGTCGAAGGCTTGGGGCTCCAAACCCGGCGGGGAAATCATTTAGGTGCTCCAAGCAGATGAGGCGCTCGGTGGTCGTGTGTAAATGCCTAATATCCGCCAGGCTGGCAAGCGACGCAAAATGATAAAGCTGGTAAGGCCGACGAGCGGCACGGCCCGCTACCAAGCTAGGGCTTACGATGGAATTAAGACATGAATTTTGGCGCGGCCCAAAGCTCGCTCGGTCGACGCTTGCGCGCCGACCAGCTCGCATTGGGCCGCAATATTTTTTCGCGTAAGTCGTGCTATCTACCGTGATGCTCACTAGCACTAAGTTGGCTCGGGTCCATTGTAACAAAACTCGGGTACTTATTGGCAAGAGGTCAATTCAGAGTGTCTCCGTGACCTACCAATCTGCCCCCCAAAAAAAGACAGATTGAGTGGTGGCTTTTTTTGTCCAGAAAAAAACTTCTTTTGAGCAATAGTTACATCGAATAAGGACATGATTCAGCATGATTATGAGTTTAGCAACGGCAATCATCGGCCAGATACACGGCCACGACCGAGCCGAAGCTTTTTGGCAGGGAGCAAAGTGTGCTTACGCAAAACAAGATGACGAAAATGTGATCCTCCGCCAAAAAGCACTTTGATTGCGACCACTATAAGAACCCTTACCTAAAGGTAGCGGGAATTTAGATCATTCCGGCACGGCCTGCGTCGGGCCGGAGATCTCCGGCGGTGTTCAAGACAAGTTCAAGAGGTCCCAAATCGAATTATTTTCATCCACATAACTAGTTGACGGGAATTCAATTTCTGCATTCAATTCTTTGTCCCTAAATTAATCCCAATCATTTCCTCCGGAGAGTCATGCACAAGGGCCAACTTCAAGTTGTGGTTTACGGAGGCGGAACCCTGCACCTCTACAACACTATCTGTGAGTTTCCGTCGGCCGAGTATCAGGAGGGACTTACCCCAACCGTGTCATTGGTGGTCGCACCGATGCACTCAAACGACGCGCAACATTTGATCAAGGGAGGGTCAACATTGACAATGTCGCACGAGTAACCTCCGGGAATACAACACTCAGTCGTCGTCTGGCGTTCCAAGAGGTGTGCGTTCGCCTGAGTGACAAGCGCAATGGCAAGTGTAGCGATGAGTTTCAACTGCATGTTCGGTGGGTGAGATGCTGGGAGCTGAGGGCAGTCGACGTCAACTATATAAGTCCGATATTTATCTGAATGCGGTATAATAACTGGATGGGCAGGGGAACTCATTCCCGGTGTTCAAACTGTCGTACATTCGCGGAGATGGCCATAAAAGAGTGACACCTCGGTTTCCCTGTTCAATTACATGTACTAGTGCCATTTTCCTGGGCTCGCATTTTTTTTAGTGATGTACGACATCGCGAATAGCTGACCGAATGAGGCCATATACAGTCTATTTTGGTCCCTTACCCCACCAGTTTATTAATTAGGCTGAGAAAGACGAGGCGAGAGTTCATCAGTAGCTCAAGGCCGTTGCGGATTTAGACTCTAAGGGCTAATCCGTTCCCACACTTTCGGAAAATCACACTGCCTGTGCTCAGTTATTCAGGGCTGAATCGCATTCTGGAGCTCGAATACTTCTGAAATATCGAAATCCGCACACTCGAGCCTTGCTTTTTTAGTCGTTTTTTCGGCTTTAAGGGCGGCGATCGTTCGGCGCTGCCTGCCGCGATCGCGCAATCTTAACCAAAGTCACGGGTCGTCCATTTTTGGATCGAAGTGGTGCTTCGTGGCCTCCACGCTCTTGTTGAATTACGAGATTCTAAATTCATCCAGACTATATGGACAAATTCCGATGAACCTAGTGTTTTATATTTTTCAGCTGCGTCCCTCGGTCCTCGATTTTGTTCTGTATTTATCCGGGACTTGTGCCATTGTCCTGGTCCTTCACGGACTTGACAGAGTTCAAAGGCGCTTAGGAGAGACAACGGGCATAATTCGGTTCACTAAAGGAGACAAAAATGGCAAACCAGGAAATTCGAGTTACTCTCTTTAATCTCTACACATCGATAGTAATAGCGAGCAGAACCTTTGTTTGATTTTCTTTGTCGATTCAAGTGCTCATTGGTACGAGTGACTCCAGACCGCAACGCCCCTCTCCCAAACTTGTCCTATCCCACGACCAGAAGGCATCTCTGGGATGACACAATGAGCTCTGTTCGGCGCAAGTAAGGTAAAGATCACTTACTCCAACCTCAGTTCCGCCGGAATTGCCATAGCAAAAGTATGGCTCGCAGCATTTAATGCCAGGACCTGGGTCAACAACTGTGACAACTTCACACGGATATCCTTGTGGAAGACAACAGATCTCGGCCTGGCGTTCGAGGCTGAGGGCAACAGTCTGCATGAAAAGCCCGAATACGTCGGCAGGGGCGAGGAGTTTCAAGTGCATGTTGTAGTTAGCTGTTGAGTGCGTTGGACAAACTTGCCAGCTGAGCAAAGGTCTTATATACTGAATCCCTGAGACGGCATCTAGTACAAACGTTGATCGGTTCAAAGCGTTTGACAGTCCCGTAGATTCGCGGACATAGCTACGGAGCTGTCTTGGTCTAATGACATTCTCATCCACGCCATTGTCTTGGTCTCATTTTCCACTCACTGCTGTAGAAATGCCTCGTAATAAGACCATACCCGGGATCGTGGAGCCGAGGAGGTAAACCACAGCTCCAGGAGATCATATAAAACTGGTTTATATGGAGGTTGTGGGCTCTTGGCAAGCGGGAGGGGAATTGGGCTAGGAGTTGCCTCGCTGGATGTGTGATCTCGATGGCAAGCCGGAACGCAGTCATCGTCCTAACCACAGGTGTACGCGAATTCCGAGGTGATTCAAGGGTCCGGGGACGGTTCATCCCTCAACATAGCGACCAGATGTCCTGATTGAAATGAACTTCCCTTCATTGTCCATATTAAAAATACGGTACCATGTAAACTCTTTCGAGAAAAGATGCTCCGAATTTGTGATTTATAGAGCTTGTAATCCACTTGCGGCCGCGGGACTCTCAGTTGAACATGACGGCAGTGAAGACCAATGCTTCGCGGAATTAGCAGTTGAACACCCGAGTGTTGACTTCCCGCCCATCTTACGTCGATTTAAATCACTGTTTTCGGTGACTAGGGTGACGAAATTGAGTTATTCTAGGGCATACCCACACCAAATAAAGTAAAATTTCAGTGTGGACTGAAATGGAAATTTATTTGCTAAAAATCAATACCCAAATCAGCCGCATCGGATTCGGCGGAAATCTGATGCGGCTGATTCTCATAAAGAAACTCAAAGAATCAGCAGAGCTGAAACTCACATTGAAATCCCTGAGCAAATTTTGCCATTGGTGGATATAAATAGCAGGCCAATAGCATAAATAGCTCAGAGATTTCAGCAGTGCTGAAACTCACATTGATTCTTTGAGTTTCTTTATGAGAATCAGCCGCATCAGATTTGTGCCGAATCCGATGCGGCTGATTTGTGTATTGATTTTTAGCAAATAAATTCCCATTTCAGTCCACACTGATATTTTACTTTATTTGGTGTGACCATTCATGACTCATGACGAGATATTAGATCACGCGCAGCTGCGAATGTAGATGGAGTTGTACTGATGGATTCTGATTCGAAGCATTCGCACCTTCGCTGCAAGCGTGATACTTGAATAAAACCACGTTTATTTTGGAGCGAATAAAGATAATCCCCGCAGACAGGAATGAAGTTGCATTCGCAATGCCTTGGGAATTGATCTACCGCATAATGAGCTTCGCACTTAGGACTGGCCGTATCACCCGAAAAGCACACATAAGTGCAGTTGAACCTGAATATCTCATTCGGCCTGGCACTTGTTAGTGTCACCGTTAACGTCCTCAAACTTTTACCTCATTGTCAACGGTCCTATAACTATGTAAACTCGCTATAGAGATGTGACCTCCCGCAGGGCTAGAAGATATGTTCGCTACTCGTTTAGACCGAAGGGTTGCCTGGGGAAACCTGATGAGATAAGCCCTCAGGGCCACCTTGTACAAGGAATTTCAGTTTTCTAACGATCGTCATTGATCCCCCATCGAGACACCAGGTGCTTCGTCAATGAGTCGAGCTTTATTCAACGGTCTTGGTCCATACAGGGTCTGGTCTGGAAAGAAATAGCAGGCCAAGCATAATAAATAGCTCAGGGATTTTGGTGGTGCTTAAACTCACACTGATTCGAGTTTCTTTGCGAGAATCAGCCATCATTCGTTTTTCCCGGCTCGGATTTATGGTCTTGGGTTACATCTCGCCTGCGATCAGGCGCCAAAGATTTGAAAGAAAAGGGCATCCGATACCGTGGTTCGAACACGGGACCTCACGATACTGTTGGATTGCAATCGTATGCTCAACCACCAAGCCATAGCGACGGAGGCGAGGCAATGTGAAAGGTGTCGTCGGTTGCGAATGTTCAACCTTATTGCAAGCCCAGGTGTTTTACAGTTCAACAAAAGGGCGGCCGGTCAAAGTGTGTTTTGGCAGGGAAGTGTTTGCAATAGGCCAACCGTAACATGAACCGGCAAGTTTGATTCGCACTCAATGCCTACGTATGGTGACTCAGTGATTTCAAAACTTGAGAGTTGGTTGCATCATAGCGACCCCGAAATGGATCTCCTGCTTTGCATCTCCGATATATCCGGCCAGGCGACAGTGCCCGTCATGGAGACCACAAACTTTTTTAGATTCCCATCAGAAGAATTGAGTATTGTTCCTCTCGACGAGGGCCCGAGTACTGGGACACCTTGGTCTTCACCTTCTTCAAATTTGGACCCTTTACATTCGAATGAGACGACATCCGTGTTGAGGTGTCAATGGTCCGTGGTGCTGTGGTCTGATTCCGTAGGATTCTGATGAAAGATGAACAGCCAACCAACAGCCAACCAACAGCCAACTGTCATTTTAGGTTCTCATTGCGAGGACGGAGCGTTATCCTTCGCGACCAGGGCCCGAACACAGGAGGGCACCTGCTCCGAGTCTCTACCTTATTGACAATTGGACCGTATGATTTGGTTAAAACAACACCTTCTGCTGGTTAGGGCTGCGACCCGTAGACCCGTACCCGTAAAATGGGTATGGAACGGGTATATACGGGCGACCCGTACCGTAGCCGTCCCGTAGAGGAGATAGCAGAAAGCCCATACGGCCGGGTTCCGTACGTACACGGGTGACGGCAGTAAGATACAGGTTTTTTATTCATCACTCTTGATCAATTCAATAAGCAGTACATATCGACCTCAAGGCATCGGATGGTGTCATGATGTAAATAAGCAAGTGTTAGGGATAATTAGAGGTGTCGTCTGCACTCCATAGCTCACATACCTGCATAGAACAAACAAGCGCTCGAAGCCGATCACTAGCCGAAGCGATCCCAAAGCGGAAGTGGCGGTTTAAACCTTGCCGCAACTTGACTAGAACCGTGCCGCAGCTTGGCTTGAAGCCGGAAACATTACGGTAATAATCCCGCAAGTCGTGGCAACAAAAGCGGCATGATACCTCGCCCCCAAGGAAATGATATTACTTGACCCGTAAAACCCGTACACGGCCGGGTACGGGTGACCCGTCTACGGTATACCCATACCGTACCCGACCCGTAGAAGCGCAGGTATAAAGTGCCTACGGCCGGGTCCTGTAACTGTACGACGGCCCGTGAACCTGTTGTTTACGGTGACGGGTCACAGCCCTACTGCTGATCTCCAAGGAAGATGATGATGATTGTCGACATAACACGAACAGCCGAATACTACTTATACTTGCCTTGGCCTTCCCACTCTTGTCTCGGAGTCGTCAATCCCCCACTTCGCGGGTCGAACCACTCTTATCCAGTCCCCGGGCATCGGTCCCCGAAGTTTTTTCTTCGCGTCTTTCCAACCAAACTTGTGCAAGCAAAATGAAAACGTGGCTGCTGGCCATGGAGGGCCGACGATTCTTTCCCTTGGTTCTGCTGGCCGCTCGGGTAACCGCACTCACGGTAAATGGACTGTCCTGCCCCTCCTTCGACAAAGGTGGCGACAACCTGGAGGATGCCCAATTTGATGGCAACTGGACCTGCACGTACTTCAGCGACGTCTCTTGTGCATATCTCTCGGACGCGAGTTGCACCAACCCGTTGGTATATAGGTCCCACCGCTGATTTCTGATCTTCAGGGTAGTTTCGTCGCATCAGAATCCTCAGATCCGAATATCTGCCCCACCGAGCTGGAGGGAGCGAATTTGAGGCCGTGAGTATTACTTCCGGAAGAGATGAACAGAAAAATCACGAAACATAGCACCTTATCCACAAGTCCTACGAAAACGCTTGCCACACCCCCACCATCTACACCTTCGTCTTCATCATCCACACCTCCGTCTTCGCCTTCGATATTCCAAACACAATCATCGCCTGGAAAATCCAGCAGTGCTTCTTCATCGTCATCAAGCACATCATCAGCTATATTGACGAGTGCGTTGAGCGGAAGTTCGGGGACACCCACGATCGCGAGCAGCAGTACGATGTTGAGTCAAATGCCGTCTCCAAGCGGAAGTTCCGCTACGATACTTGACAGGTATCCTTCTCTGGGTTCAAGCTATTTCAAATACTCGCACTCACCTGCGTACCGTAGCAAGGCCACACGCACCGGTGCAATCGCTGGGTCCCTTGTGTCCATTGGCGTTGTTGCCGTTATACTGCTGGTTGCATTGTGGCTGAAGCGCCGTCGCCAACAAAGTCCGCCCGACCCCGAGCAGTACAGCGTAGCACGCCCAAATTTCCTCTTTCCGGAAGGTAAAGCTGGGGCCACAGCCGATGGTGGGTCGCCCTCACTACCAATCCCTTTGGAATCAGATAACTCAACACGGGAAGATACCGGAGCGGAGAGAAACATCCCCGGAGACGAGACGTTGGCATTGCGCGTGCAGCGAATGGAGGCCCAGTTGCGGGTTCTGTTGACCGATGGGGCCACAGAAAGAGCACCGCCCAGTTACGGAAGATAGGCCACGAGTGGAGGCGCTTGGAGACTTCCATTTCGCCAGGGGAGAAGTGTCCTAATCTCACGCTGAACTCGGAGCGGGGAATCGAAGCGAGAATCAGTATAACTACAGCCTGGAGCCGCAGAAGTACAAGAACAGTATGAAATCGTGAAATCAAACATAGGAGACCAGACGTTGGCCGCCGTCGGCGTCTTGCGACAACTCCAGCCCATCAGTGACGCAAACCAAAAGAGCCTGATGCGTAGACCGGAGAAAGAGCCAGAAAGGCGGGGCACAGCACGACGAGTAGTGGCTCATACGTCAGCTGCAGCTGTACTTGGTGACGTGCTGGCCGTCATCGGACAGAAAAATGCGCTCGTGTGGAGGTGGCAGAAAAGCGGAAGACATTTGGAAGACATCATAGCCACTCGGATCACATCCGTCTAATGATCGTGATCGGATAATTACGGAGCCCGGCAGCTGCCGGAGTGAAAATTTTTCGGGGTTCTAGTCCAAAAAAGGCGCCATCACCGTCACCTGGACCAAAATTGTTCAGATCACGATTGCCCGTCACTCGTCACCTGAGCCCTTGGTCGAAACGCTACAGTACAAGAGGACGTCATTTCAACCAGATCCAGTGGTGTTCCTGGAACCTTTAGGTTTCAGGTCTCCAAGAAGTCTTTTGAAAATCCGTGTCCCGATATGGCAACGCGAACATTTCCTTATTGTGAGTGAAACCGCTTTGGAAGGATCACCACGTGCAAGCCTGGGCGGCTGGCGCGGCAGCGCGGAACGCCGCCTGCGTATCTTCCCAGACCAGCACCTCCAAGCTAAGAACAACTGCTAGGATCCTTGGTTCCAGGAATGCCCGGAGGGCCCTTTGAATAATGTTTCAGCACAAGAACAAAGGAATTCGGTATTAATGACAATCAGATTTCGAGCTTATTTATATTTAAGACGCCAACCCCCGGACTTGGTTGTATTGCATGACGCCACATTTAACAAAGTCGACCGACAGAGATCAGATCTCAGCCACGCGGGACTCGCAGATGTCTCTGCCGGCAGAATCTCGTGTTTTCTCTGATTTCTCGATCTCGGCTCTCTGTCTGACCCCAATTCTACTTGCTGGACAAACAATCATGAGCCATGCCGCTGCGCAAAATTTGTCGGAGGCCTTGCGCAACTTTTTCGTGCACTTGCTGAACCCTGAAGTCCGCACTAATTCCATTCCTCTCAATTTATAATTAAATTCATCGGTGTTTTCCCCGGGCCAATCCTTCACAAAAGTCCAAGATTCCCAAGGTTCACGTTAGAGTCCCTATAGGCTTACTCGACCAGCATCCCACCAAAAAACAACAGAAGCAATCATCAGGGCATAGATCTCAATAGCACAAGATGGGCGAGGGGCGAGAAACGAAAATAGAATTTTCCGAGACAGGTCCCGTGCCTGGATCCAGTGTGAGTAGCTCGGAGCCAAACATTCTCCTTGTATCCTGTCATTGCCTTGAATCACCTCAACTTTGAACGGATGAATCGAAGATTTCCACAAAGTTGATCGCGATTTGGGATACGGGTATCACCGGCGGTAGGGCGATCGAGAAAAAATGGGAACCTCAAATTTCAAGACTGCAGCTGGGAATCCGGTTTCACAAGGGGGCATGATCGAGTGGGGGAGGACTGCGCCGACGCGCCCATTCGGGGCTACGAGTGAAAGTTCTTCGACTTGAAAGTGCTGAGCATTTTAATACATTTTTTCAGGTGAGTTTCAAGCGGGTGGAATGACAGCCACCACCTCCTATTCGTGCGGAAAATGGACGGCTCCATTCAATTGACGATTGGTATGAGTGAGGTGTCTCGTCCCTACGCTGGGAGGAGCTGAATCGCGGCACGAAGAACGAGTGACGGATATTCAATGAACCTCTCAAAAGCTGGAGAAGGCGCGAAGTGCCGTCGACAGCTTGTATTCCCAGGAAGCCCCAGTGGGACGTAGTGTAATGTATGTACGACAGGGAATCTCGTAATGTACGACAGGGATCTCGGCTAATATCTCGGTTACCTCATGTTCTAGTGCGGAAATATCCGATCTCTTAATCTCGGAACTAAGACGCGGTAATTGATGGCTCCTTTATTCAGAGTCTTGTTTCCCAGTTGGCATCTTTGCGTCTCTGGGATAGGCAAATTGTCTCAATCTATATGTAGCAAAAAGCCATCCTCAAACTAAATTAAAATGTAGCAGTGAAGCCAATTTTAATGTGTAACATACATCACCCGTACTACCAGATTATCGCTTGGCACCTGGCTTGTCTCAAGGAGGTTGCCGTCGTGGAGGTACGTAACTGCAGGGTGCTTTTGAATTGAAGTGTGAAAATGGACGGCGGGGACCTCTGCTGAGTGTCTGATCGTGCGGTGTCTTGGAATTAAAAGG